GAAGTCTTAGATAGGCTGCTTCCTATCTTCTGCAGTAAATAAATGAGAGCAGGAAAATGATGCCCCAAACTGCTATCTACTCTACTGAAATGCTTGCCCATATCCAACTCATCAAACGCTATCTGCCCCAAAACTTTTACTTTAGAAATTGAACTAAAGCAAGGGTTTGTAGCTTAAGTGATTAAGAACATTTACCCATGCATCAAAAGTCCTAGATTCAATTATCCATTTCCCGTATCGTATCAGGGAAAAATAAATAGATTGCGGACCTTCTCATGAAAGGCAACATGTATAATGTGAATGAAACAACAGAAATTTGGTTGGTAGTTGGTACCATTTTATTTGCCTCCATTGTAACCTAATCAAGAACAACAATTTTTTGGCTTGCCCATTAGAATCTGAATCAAGACCAGTTCAGTTCACTTCAAGCTTTCAAGCTCTATGGAGAAACGACAGGCCATGAAAGGTCATAGGGTAGGGCGTGGTCCATGAAGGATCAGGTTGACTGAGATACCCACCAAAACGGGTCGTCTTCTACGACTTCTACACTGCCATTTGTCCCAATTCACGCCACTTGTCATTTTAAATAAAAAAACAGAGACATATATTATTTATCTACAATTGGGCCGAATTTAGGCTGGTCAGGCCGAAGCCAAATTTCACTCTTTCTGGGCCAGCCCAAAAAACCCTTTGATCCCAATTGGCCTCTTGGCCTTATGCCGAACCTGGGCTGGGGAAATGTGGATCTTCACTGTTTCATTAAATAAAAATAATTTGTTTCTAAAGTAAAGAAAATTCCAAGGAGGGGGAGAGGGGACAAACAAAATATAATAAAAATTTGGTGCAGAATGAGACAAAGGAACACAGTATTTTTCTGTGGAAGAAGCACCCAAAAGGCAGGATATGTTTTATTAGTGGACTCTCCACTTATGACATAAATTTGTCCTCTAATTGCAGTTTTTAGACTTTGTGAACCAAATGTTGCTGTCCTATCCTCCTATCCTCCTATACCCCCACAACCTCATCAATTTATTTGAGGGACACTGATCGACCAAACTTCATGGCCCGCGCACATTTTGCATTGCAATGGGCTAATGGGCTAATTTATTAATTTATACTCCATTTAATTTTGAGAAATAAAAACAAAAACAAAGTCAAATCATGTTGCTTCTAGGGTAGGGATGCTTTAGTAATTAAAAATAATAATTAACATGGTTTTCTTCACTAATTTTTTTTGGCAGTTTGCGTTTGAAAGTTTTGGTGGAGTTAGAGAGAATGATATGCAATGTATCTGTTGTTGCTTTTATCATTATCTTTTGATAAAACTTCTCATGTAAAAATAATAATTAAGATGGTTTTCTTCACTAATTTTTTTGGCAGTTTGCATTTGAAAGTTTTAGTGGAGTTGAAAGAATGATATGCAATGTATCTGTTGTTGCTTTTATCATTATCTTTTGATAAAACATCTGATATGCACACTTTTTCTTTCCCCAATATAGTTAGTGGTACCCGACTAAAAAAGGTGCTAATTTTCCCACTCCATTTTTGTCTACTTACACTAGCAACATGAGTGAGAAAATCAACTCCCAATAAAAACACTGATTAATAATTATTTGTGTCATTAAATCAATAAATCTCAGCATCTGAATCTGATATGTTTTTTTTTCTTTTGGTAAAGCAATGCTTACCATGAAATATGATAAGTGGTATGTTACCTATATAGTTTTAGCACTACTGCATTTTCGTAGTGTTGTTTTTCTTCACCAAGTGATTGTTTCATACCATCAATCATTCTGGTTCTGATTTTGGATTTATAATATATTGTACTCACCTAAAATAGACATGCTAATTAATCTTGACTACACATTTTGTCAAACTCATGTGTTATCTTTTGGTACGAAAATTCAAACCTACCCACACTATCTCAGTAAAACATTTTGCCCTTTTAACCAAAAAATGGACCCGCGGAGCCATTCTTAGGCTTGGAGTGACCCTGGCCCCCCATATTTTTATCTCTCC